TTGTAATCCAAACGATAGTGTATTTTGTTCTCTACAATGACTTTAGTTAACAAACGTCAACTGGCAATTGAATTTCTCAATAGCAACGTTAATTCAAGCTAGTGATAAATGCACTGACAGTTCTGCATTCCAATTGATCAAAAATGTCAATTAGAAATTTCAAAGTACTGATCACTGAACAAAGAACATTGTTATGGATATATAACTGTAGAACCTGATGAACTCGTTGTTCCGTAATCACTCGTTTGAAATTTCTGATGGGCATTTTTGATCAGTTGAAATTTAGCGATAAAGGTTCTCAATGATTTCCTGAAGTATAACGCTAAGCTCCATTAAACAAAGGCAACGAATCAAATCACTGTCCTTTAGTTTATTAGAAGTATCTGCATCGTCTTTTAATCGACATATATAGAAGCGGTTGAAATGAGCATTGATCGCAGCCAACATGCAGTAGATGAACTACCAGATCTTAGGACAGCCTTTATGGAATACGTGACTCAAATTGGTGAACGGAAGGCACAGAAAAAGCAAACTGAGCTAATGAAAGGACTTGAAAGCAATTGAGTGGCTAGTAAACTTGTTGTAGATCCTACAAAGTACGTGAATAATCACAGCAATTTTGAATTTAGTAAAGTGCAACTCAAGGTACTTTCTCTTGCCCCAAGATTTTGCGACAGACGGAACGAAATCAAGTACTTCGATACAGATATTGAATTTGAAACTCCAGTCAGACAAGGTATCTATTTCCACCCTTCAACTACACTGCTTCAAATCCAGTCTAGTAGATTGTTGTTGTCAGTACAAAAACATCAAATACGACAGTGAACGTTTTTCGATAAAGGAGCACACAGAAGAACTACAGAAACTGATAAATGACAAAAGACTGATAATGGCGAAACCTGATAAAGGATCAGGAGTAGTCCTGCTTGACAAAAGTGAATATATTAGCATGATAAATGATTTATTGAGAGTACGTAGAAGTTCCAAAAGCTTGAGGAGAAGAAAGATTTCAATAAGAAAATAGGGAGTAATTAACCAGACGTTTGAATAAACTAAGGGAAGAACAGATATTTCCCGAAAACTCATTTGAAGAACTCAGACCGACAGACACATGCACCCCAAGATTATTCGGCCTACTCAAAGTACATAAACTTGGGGTGCCGTTAAGATCAATACTTGATATGCGAAATTCGCCGTATCATGGTTTAGCTAGTTTAGAATGATTGATCCTACGAAGATGAGTAATTTAGAAAAATACTCAGCAATCGCACTGTATGCATTAACACAAGCACACAATAAGGTGGGACAGAGTTAAAATTCTAAAAAGTAATATAAGCAGATGGAGGCGGAGATTGATTACTGAATCCTGGGTCATCGAGTCTACACCCAACACATGCAATAGATGTGACTTACCACAAACACCAGAGATATGGACGATATTATTACCAGTGAAATCACAGGATAATAAAAAATGTTAAAATGTATTCAATTCACATTATAACAAGTTATTTAATTTACTACGGAAACACCTTGTTTCCCATCTTATTGTATTTTATTGATACCAATAATGTTATTTAACCAATGTTTACTCATGTATATAAATGAAGCAAGAAAGTTGTGTGAGCGACTTGATACGATTATGAGCAATAATTGTGCTCAAAACGTCATAATTGAATATTACTGCATAAAACTGTGTGACGTCATCAAAATGAAATTTTATCCATAATGGAGTTATACTCTACCATAGTGCCCAAGTCTCACTCTTACATGATTTAGCTAGATGGTTAGTGACTATTCTCAAACCTTTGTGTTAACAGATAGTGAAACATAGCGTCAAAGGTGTATTTGAATTCGAAGAAAAAACCGAAGATATTAATATCAAGGATAAAAGTATGATATCTTTGGACATAACATCTTTATTCACAAATGTACCTGTAGTAGAAACGCTTAACTACATATGTGAACAAGTATATAACCAGTCGATGAATAGTGACATCCAACGGAAATCCTAGGAGAATTTTTATTAAGATGTACCATAAATGTTAATTCCAAGTTTGATGGCACGCTTTACAGGCAAGTGGACGAGGTGGCGATGGGCTTCTCGTTGAGTCCCGTTTTGGCAGATTTCTTTCGAAGTAAACTAGAAAAACGACCTTTGAACAACCTTATCAGAAAATTATCATTTTATTGCCGTTATATGGATTGCACCTTTATTCTTTGTGATAATGATTTGGATAGAAACACAAGAATAACACGTTTCAGATAAACTACGTCTTCTTATTGTGTTGTCGAAAGAATAACTGAATTCAATGAAGTACAATTTGGGTCAAGTTAAACTTTAAGTACCACTTACTGACTACCAATGGAGTACGACCATACCAATAACCTTGAAACGCTCAGTGAGTAAGTTAGTGAAACCCGGCAAGTAATTTTGTCATCATCGATAAAATATGCTCATTGAAGTGTTACTTCATCAAATGGGATATCTGAGAAGTTTCAGCTTGGGTTTGGGTAAGATTAAGTTATGCTTTAAGCCAAGGACAAGTTAGGGTTAGGTTAACCCAATAAAAGGCGATATTAGAATTGGTTCGAGTTAGATTACAGTTAGTTTATGGATATTTTCACGTTAGGGTTAGGTTCAGGAAAGATAAGGGTTATTGTTGGGTTTGGAAGACCTACATAATTGCATACATAGAATATGGTTAAATTACTCTATTGATATAAGAATAGAAATTGCGCACTGTGGTAGAGTATAATTCCATTGCTGATAAAATTTATTTTGATAAAGTCTCATAGTGTTAGACAGTATTATTAACTGATGACGTTTCGAGCACAATTTATTACTCAGTAAATATTACTTTATTACACTGTGAGACTTTATCAAAATAAATTTTACCCACAGTGAAATTACACTCTCTATAGTTGGTTTGTAAAAGTTAGTTTTGTTTTTACGAGTTGATCACGGATTGATATCAGTTAGAGAACCATTGAAAACCAGCACTGGAAGTTAGAAAACATGGGTCATTGAATCGGGTCCCAGTGGCTGAATAGTATACGGGCTTGCCTTGTAACCGGAAGGTCCTCGGTTCGAACCCCAGTGGGTGCGTACTGCCGATGATTCCCAAACTAGGATGAAAGAGCCGTCCAGTACTCCAGCGCTGGTTTTCAATGATTCTCTAACCGTTATCAACTCGTAAAAATTACACTGTTTATACTCCAAACTAAAAATGAGAGCTGCTTTTATCATACGTGATAGATCAGTATCCTCTGTAACACTTTGCTACAGATTTTATGCATTTTTCTTATAAATATATGTATTCCATATACAAAAATGCCTCCTTCTCCTGATTGGTGCCTTCGAGGTCATTTGCTGATTGGTAGTTAGTGGTGCTTAAAATTTAACTTTACCACATTTTTCTATGAAATTCACGTGCGAAGAGGAATCCCAAAACAGAATTGCCTGGATGTCCTCCTTACAAGGAAACCAGATGGTTATATAAAAAGAAATTTGCATAGGAAGACTACATGAACAGGACAATATATACACTTTCACAGCTTCGTTCCTCTCCAGTACAAAAGAAATTTAGTAAGGACCCTCAGCCACGGGGTTACAGCTATATGCTCAGAAGATGAACTAAGGATTGTATATTGTGGTTAGAGCTGGCTTCTAGCTAAAGTTGGTAGACAGTAATTGACGTCAATGTTTATGTCCCCAATATTGGTGGTGAGAAAATGAGAACAAAGGCTTGGCGTAGGTGGATACAGTTAGCATATGGATGATCTGACACAGCCACAAAGAGATTCAAGGTTAACTTTCTGTGGGAAACAACCAATCAACCAAAAGACTGTATTTTCTACTAACAATAATGAACATTAAAATCTATAAATATGTGTTGATTTTCCTTAATAAACGATCTGTTGCCTGACCCTTGTCTTCTGTTGTTACATTCTGTTTCTCACCTAAAGTTAATCTTTCATCTCTTTGTGACTGTTTCTTGAATGTTAGATCATCTATATGTTAACTGTATCCGCCTACGTAAAGTCTGCTGTGGTTGGTTTTTGAATCAGTCTTTGTTCATATTTTCTCACGACCAATATTGAGGACGTAAACATTGACATAAATTACTGTCTACCAATTTGGTTAGTAGACAACTCTCACCGCAATATGACATCCTAATTTAAAATAACTATCCACACAAATTTATCAGGAAAAATGGGACTAAGATAGTTGAAAAGGATTATTCTCTATCTGTAAATAAGCCTTTGTATACTCGGCTGCAGTTCAAGGGTAATGTACTGAGTGAAATAATTACTAACATGTTAAGAAAATCTATTCAAAGAACTTTTAACGCCGGTAAACTACAAGTAATATTTTCTACACAACCGGTTGTGATTCCTCAGCTGAAAGATGAAGTACCTAGACTAACCACTTCTGTTTGTATCTACCAGTTCAATTGCGCTTGTGGAGTGACTTATATTGGCCTTTGCTCTAGGGACTTGATTTTTCGTGTTCAGGAACACCTACTAGTGCAGCTAAATAAAGGTATAGTGAGAGACATCAACAGCTCAATATTAGACCACTCGGTACAAACCGGCATTGGAGAATCCTTCTCCATCATGTATCGGGTACCAGATATATAGCCTTCAAGAACTGAAGATTCTAAACAGCAGAGGCTATTGCGATTCACCTAAAACAACCAAGGCTCTGTGGGCAGAAGAAACAGGTCCAACTACTGCTACTTCCCTGGCCTTCTGTTCGGCCTATAAACTCATGAATTCTGTATTATTATTTCTCCTAATTTGTCCGATATTCAGTGAGTGTCATGCATATTATCACGATAACAGATCCTATTGAACTGTAATCTATTGATATTATTGATTCGATGTCATTAAAACAATATTAAATAACCCTAATTCTTTCATTATAATGGTTATATAACGGGAGGACCTGATAAAGAACTTATCGAAAAGAATATCCTTTGTTCAGTAATCAGTTTCGCATTTGTATCTTCGTGTTTTCAAGGTTTAGGCAAATAGATATTTTCTGATAAAGATGCTAATAGGGATAGATATTTCTAAACACTTATTAATGAGTGGTCGTACACAAGATCATGAAAATGAACAAATTTAACAGCAGAAACGAATTACAACATAACCTTTTTCATACAAACGTATTTAGCTAATATATTGATTCGAACATAAGAATACAGCTTTTTACACAATATAATGATTACAGAATAATGGTTACTTAAATGTTATGGAGCATATAATAGTTTTAAAAAAAACTCAATAATTAACGGAAATAGTGTTGGAACTATTGGTGTCTTTTCTTACTCTTTTTTTATTAAAGCCACACTCAGACATTTATCGACGTTACTTCATTTCTATGTACAGAGAAATCACAAAATGCTAAAACTCTCACTGGAGATACACGTTGTATTCAATTAGACAAATTCGAAGAGGAATAGACTCTGATGTTACTGATATGATTAACTTAACAGTTCATGCTACTCTTGTGTCCCACAACTGGGTGACCTGGATGCACTAGAAGATGGTAAATTTATGTTATCTGTTTGATTGGATTTATGACAGGATGATGATGGGACAGTTGCTTCATCCACTGTAGAAGCCACATGTGTTGAACCCTGACTTTGACGTTCATGTTTAGCAATCACGCGATAAAAATCCTCGACAGTGTCAGGTTGAAGTATTCTACAGGACGTTGAAGAATGAGATGAATTTTGTACATATGGTTGAGAACCGGAATTGATATTACAGGTTTGATGAGAAGAAACATAATGATTTTGACAATGATTAGGCAATGCACTGCGTCCTGTTTCTGCTGAAAATGACAGCGAAGTGCCTGCATTAATGACAGAAACATGAGGTAGTTGTGACACAACAGTTTCCTGGTTCTCTGAATAAATATGTTGATTGGCGTGTATTGAATCAATCCTATTTTCACCAACAACCTTATGAGACTCAGTACTATCATCGTTATCTGAAATAATAACAGGAGAAGATGGATTATTCAAGTAAATTAGTATATCGGGAATCTGAACGAAAGTTTTTTTGCGATGCTTTGATTGGTAGTGGCAACAGCATGATCGCTTATGATGGCAAGTAAAACTACGGGGATAATGAAGATGTTTCTTGTGAGAGCTTTTACATTTGGATGGACTGCAACAATGAATTAGTGTTGGACTGAATCTTGTAGCACTCTGACAATCATCTGAGGAAGACGAACTAGTTCCGGAAACTGAACAGGAAGAATCATCGTATATCCTTATTGATTCTCCAACAAGTTCACAATCACTATCCGTGCTTTCTGAGTGATTTAAATTGAAATCCAACTTGCGTTTACGATGATGGTAGTATGATGGACGTTTTGTCTGGGAAGGATAATAATGCTTCAAAGAATTTCTAGGAGACAGGATAGTTCTAGTATGTTCTGAGGAAAGTGACTGTATTGCGTTACTACTGTCAGTTACTGTACCTTTATACTTTCCAGATGAATTAGTCATTGATGTTATCCAATCTTTTGATGATGATGGAAAAACTGCTTCATCTATTTCCATAGATTCTTCATGAGCAGTTATGGAAGGCTGCTGATTAGTGATTGAATCAGTACAGTTACTACTTGAACTACGAGTACATGAAAGCGATAAGTTGACTGACACTTCCTTAGTAGTATTTACTATACTATCAACTGAGTTATTGGATGTAACCACACTTTGTCTAGCCGTATTATTTTGTGTTGTTTGAGCTGAAGTAGATGCATACATATTCGTAAGCGGCACGTCGCTTTGTAAAGATATACTAGGTTCTGTCGTGTGTGATGAACAATGGTATTCCTCACATCCACAAGTATTTCTTAATTCATTTCGGAAGGAATTATTATCATCTTCAGATTCATCGGAAGTTGTATCTATGAGTTCAACAGCAGTTCCAGTATCCTTATGATAGACGGTCACTTCTTCATCAGACGAACCCGATGATATATAAAGATATTGGGCTGTTTCAGGGCAGCCACTGGATGAATTTTGAATTGAGATAGTTTCGTTAGCCAGTGTGCTTAAAGGAGAACTTCGACTATCTTGAAAGCAAAGAGTGTTAGTAGATGTCGGTTGATTTGATACAGCAGAATTCCAATTAACAGAATTAATATCGCTACAAACCACATTAGTAATACTTGATGAAATCGAAGAAGGATCGGCTTGAGTATTCGGAAGAAGTGCGGGTTCACTTAGGAGTCCCCGATCGGTTACTGATAATCTTGAAGTGTAAGGTGCTCTGGTAGTATTCACGCTTTGCAAGGATTGTGGTTGACTCTCTGAGCGCGTTAAAGTTGTTTGTGATCCGCTAACTACAGTTGTAGAGTTTGTGAGATCAATAACTGTTGAAGGTGTATTGGTCAGTGACCACAGAGGTATATGAAGCAATTCGCTGACCATTCGCTCTCGATCATTACTTAAACCCGGGACTCTCTCTGAGAAGAGATGCTGAAGACCATCTAGACGTCTTAATGCTAGTGGGTACGACAACAAAGCTGGTCTCAAGTAGGCCGGGGATTCCGTGGGGTTAATTACATTACGGACAGAATTTGTAGCGTCAATACGATCAGTCGAGACAGAAATAGGTGGATCACCTTCTGAACTTTGAGATGTCACGGGTACCAAGGGGAAGCGATTATTATACAGACTGAAATGTTTACTTTGAGCTTCACTAAACCGTGCGTGATCGATAAATTCACTCAATATGCGTTGGTATAAAAGTTGGCTGGAAGAAATTCTGGGAGTGTTAACAGTCCCATCAGGACTTATATTCCTAGTCTGTCCCGAAACCTGGTTCCTTGATGTAAAGGAAGACACAATGGTTTGCAGAAGACTATAACTAGTACCTGTTATGCGACAACAGTACGAGTGACATCCAAGTAATGGTCCCGAACAATACACTATGTTTGGCGAATTTGGTGGATTACCTGTGCCGGCAATAATATCGGGATGAAGATCACATACGGCATGAACAAAAAGTCTTTGTAGTAACCAATTGGCTAAAGGATAGATAAAACCCCGGGGTTGAATAAAACCTGTACGAGGATGAACCCGAGAAGAAGAAGCAATATACACAACTAGGTGGGGATCAAAAGAGAGCCGTCGAGAATGCATATCTTGATTTCTTTCATTTGATAATGCAGCTAAACCACTCTGAATTATTCTACGCTGATATAAAGAAACCGAAGAGTCATACTCCCCTATAGTTCCAGTAAACTGAGCAAACTGTAAAATTTCTGAGGCAAAATGACGAAGGTATCCAGTGGGTACCAGTGACGAATGAAGAGCAGGCTGACTCCGCAGAAGATCAACAATCGCTTGCTGATTTGTAATGGGAACTATACATATGTGTTGGAGAACCAAATTAGTCAGAGCATCTAATTCTCTCGTCTCTACCTCCAAGCCAGGGGTACCATAAATAAGGGGCGTTGTTACAGCAGCATGTTCACTATTACTCTGCAAACTATGAGACACATCATATGCCAGCCATGGAGCTAGAACACGTAATTCGCGACGAATAAACCATGCAAGTCTGTGTCGATGAGTTTCATTTGCTGCTAGGAATTCGGGTCTGATGTCTTGTACGTATTCTGGCCTGTATTAAAATTTAAAAAATAATGAAATTTTGAAATTATGCAACCCAAAACCAAATAGATATCGACCTGAAGTAGAATAATCAGTCAAACTGCTTGAAAATGTCACAAAAAACTCAATACATACATGCAAGATAATCTTATCAATCAGTGCTTTATCACTACTCGTTCCTTGTGTTTCAAGTGAAACTCAGGGTCTTAGTGGTACATCCCTAATGCATTCGGTTCTCTGCCACCACTTTCAAATGCTTATACGACTACCCACGACCTTTAATTTCCTTTTCAAATGATCCCCTCTGTACTAACCATGGATGTCCAACTCATTGCTTCACAAACAAGTCCCACTCGACGGTCTCCTCAGTGTACATACAACCATTCTCTATTTCCCTCTGCATATTTGTTGGAATACAGGTTCTTTGTTAATTCGCTGACTGCCACAGTTCCTTGTTGCTTATCGTTCCATGCCGGTCATATGGTCTTCAGTATTGAGTGGAGACATGAGTTGATGAAAGTTTGCAGTAACATATTGGACATGGATGTGATGTCATACGCACCAAGCACTGACTTGACACTATTGTTGTTGAAAATTCTCGTCTTGGTCCTTGTGCTGTAGATATCCATCCTGATTTCAGAGCAATGAACGCCTGCCTTGCATACCCTGATTATGGTTATGGTGAGAGATGGCTGCTAGCTAAAGTTGGTAGACAGTAATTGACGTCAATGTTTATGTCCCCAATATTGGTGGTGAGAAAATGAGAACAAAGGCTTGGCGTAGGTGGATACAGTTAGCATATGGATGATCTGACACAGCCACAAAGAGATTCAAGGTTAACTTTCTGTGGGAAACAACCAATCAACCAAAAGACTGTATTTTCTACTAACAATAATGAACATTAAAATCTATAAATATGTGTTGATTTTCCTTAATAAACGATCTGTTGCCTGGCCCTTGTCTTCTGTTGTTACATGGTTAGCTCTGACATCTTCAACAGTGTTACCAGTAGTTGAAACATTAGTGTCTAACCAGGAAAATGAAAGACACAACTTTCTGTAAATTTTTCCAATTGAAAATGACTGGTGTTTGTTGGTGGTGGTCTGATGTTTTCGTCCTATGTTTTCTCCATATTCACTGGAACTCCTGTGTTTGCTGCTTTTACTGCTAAATTGTTGATTTTAGTTTGTAAATTTTCCAGTTTATGCGGTATGAGGCATAAGCCATTCGTGAAGTTCAGCTACTCCAAGATCTTTTCGTCAGTCCAACCTAAGTTAAAAATTAACCTCGCCTAGTTTAGTAGGTCACTAGTATTCTAGCCGGTCCCAAGCCCGGATAAAGAGGGAGGGTTGGGGCGTGGTGCTAGCAACTTCACCCCAAAAACTTAACCAAATTGCTACTAAAACTTCAACGCACAAATATATTAAAAATTCTAAAAATACAAACAATAAACTTATTTTTCTCTGGAATCGGGGAAGTGAAATGACGCAGGCTGGTGAAGGCCTTCGGGAAGCCAGTTAGCCGATGTGCCTTCTTTCGATGAAAGCGAAAATAAGGATGGGGACGTGGAATATTCGTACAATGTACGAAACTGGAAAGGCTGCTCAGGTAGCCGAAGAAATGAGGAGATATAAAATAGAAGTGTCGGGAATCTGCGAGACCAGATGGAACGGATGCGGAAAGTGCAAACTACCAACTGGAGAGACAATAATCTACTCCGGTCACCCAGAGGACGATCACGAGCACACCGAGGGAGTAGCCATTATGATGTCACCAACAGCGGCTAAAGCTCTCATGCAGTGGGAACCAATCTCCTCCAGGATAATGACAGCCAGGTTCAACTCAAAAGGAAAAAAGGTTACAATCATTCGATGCTACGCGCCTACAAACGTCTCAGAAAAAGAGAAGAAGGAGGATTTCTACAGTCAACTACAAACAGTAATGGACAACGTCCCAAAGAGCAATATCAAAATCCCGATGGGTGACATGAATGCGAAACTGGGAGGAGACAATACAGGAAGAGAACTCACCATGGGCCGCGAGGCCCTCGGTGAAATAAACGAAAATGGTGAACTCTCCTTAGACTTCTGCGCCTTCAATGACTTGGTGATTGGTAGCAGTGTGTTCAGACACAGGCATATACACAAAGCGACATGGATTTCACCAGATGGACACACCAAAAACCAGATAGACTTCATTTCAATCTCAAGGAAGTGGAGACGGAGCCTACTGGACACAAGATCGAGGAGAGGAGCAGATGTGGGTTCAGACCACTATCTAGTACAAGGGACTTTCAAGGTGAAGCTGAAAGCCTCGAGGATACCTGGGGATAGGCCACAATGCAAGTTCAACACGCAAAAACTGAAGGACACAATCACACAGGACATTTTCACTGCAACTGTCAGAGCCAAGTAGGAAACACTACGTGGCACCACTGAGGAATCATCCGTGGAAGACCACTGGAACTCTCTGAAGGTAATTTTCAACGAAACGTGTTCAACGGTTTTAGGAAGAAAGAAGAAACAAGACAAGGAATGGCTCTCAACGGACATTTGGAAGCTAATAGAGAAGAGGAGAATGGTGAAAGAGAAAATGATTCAATGCAAAGATGGACAAGAGAAAGAGACGCTGAGCTCAACTTACACAGCACTGGACAAAGAAGTGAAGAAGAGCGCCAGGAAGGACAAAAGACAATTCTACGACAATCTGGCCACTGAAGCTGAGAAGGCAGCAGGCAAAAAGGGACCTGAGGACACTATATCAGATAACCAAGTCTCTATCTGGGAAGAGATCAACACAAGTGAAACCTATAAAAGACAGTCAAGGGAACCCAATTACCAAAGAAGAAAGACAGATTAAACAATGGGCGGACCACTTCAAAGGACTCTTGAACCGACCACCACCTACAACCCGTCCAGAAATACTAACAACAGCACGTACACAACTGCAAGTTGACACCAATCCTCCAACGAAAACTGAAGTCATGAATGCAATCAAGCTTCTGAAAGCTGGAAAAGCAGCCGGACCAGATGGAATACCCCCTGAAGCACTGAAAACGGACGCGGAGACAGCAGCAGATATGCTGACTCCATTATTGCAAAAGGTCTGGAAGGAGGGAAAGGTGCCTACTGACTGGAGGAAAGGTTATCTAGTGAAACTACCAAAGAAGGGCGACTTAGGCCTCACTCTGCAAGAACTGGCGAGGAATCATGCTCCTGTCGACGCCAAGTAAAATCCTGAGTCGCATCATCCTGGAGAGAATAAAGGACGCACTGGATACAGAACTCCGACCAGAACAAGCTGGATTCAGGAAAGGCAAATCATGTTCTGACCAAGTTACAACTCTACGTATCATCATCGAACAAAGCATGGAATGGCAATCAAAGCTCTACCTCAACTTTATAGACCTTGAGAAGACCTTCGACAGCGTTGGCCACGAAGTAATTTGGAAGCTACTCGAGTACTACGGCGTACCCCAAATATTCATCAATCTTATTCAACAGCTGTACGACAACGGCACATGTCAAGTGATCCACAACGGAAAACTCAGCGAAGCGTTTGGAGTAAACACAGGAGTCAGACAAGGATGCTTATTATCACCAATGATATTCCTAATTGTGGTGGACTGGATTATGCGTCAGACAGTGGGAAACGAGAAGACAAGGATATCCTGGACCGACGTGAAGAACCTAGAAGACCTGGATTTCGCGCGTGGATGATTTATATTTGATGTCACACAAAGTCGAAGACTTACAAGCGAAAACCGACAAACTGGTCGAAGAAGCAGCAAAGACAGGACTCCAGGTGAACATAGACAAGACGGAGGTTATGAAAATAACCAACCAACAACAACAACAGCAGCAGCAACATCCAGCGCCAATCACCATCAACGGGAGGGATTTGAAAGAGGTTACTTCATTCACTTATCTAGGGAGCATTGTCTCAACGACAGGAGGAACGGACGAGGATGTCAAATCGAGAATCGGGAAGGCGACAAACACATTCATCAACCTGAAACCAATCTGGAAATCTTCGTCACTCAGCATCAACAACAAAATTCGGATTTTCAATACAAACGTCAAGTCACTTTTGCTATACGGATCAGAAACTTGGCGGGTCACAAAGAATATTTCCAACAGGTTGCAGACATTTATCAACAACTGTCTTCGCTCTATACTGAAGATCAGATGGCCGGAAAGAATCACAAACAAGAAGCAATGGGAACAAACAAAACAAGGACCAATCGCTCAACAAATATGCAGGAGAAAGTGGAGATGGATTGGACACTCGCTGAGGAGGCCGTTGGGTGACATCGCGCGTCAGGTCCTCGAGTGGAACCCGAAAGGGAAGCGGCGAGTGGGACGTTCAAGGGTGACATGGAGGAGATCGTGTGATGAGGTACTGAAACAGTATGGATTAACATGGATGCAAGTGAAAAGTACAGCACAAGACAGAAGCAAGTGGAGGCGTGCAGTTGAAGCCCTATGTTCCACTAGGAACCCAAGGGAACAATAATAATAACCTACGTCCGTCTTCTAACTCTTGCGATATGCTGAATGATCCAGTCAATCACAACCGGGATATTAGGTGATAGCAGACAAACCTGTCTTTATTTCAAAAGCTTTACGGAGCCGTCCGCTGTGAATTGCTCGACATGCAGCGTCATCAAATAGCTGTTGAACGAGGTTTCTAAAACTTTCTGCAAATAGCACCCGGATTCGAATATGCTCAACTAGCTCGCGCCTGAGCGATTGGATACTGTCATCAGTCTTCATAATATAAATGTGGCTCATACACCGGTGCAAGGTGCGTTATAATCAGCTAACCAGATGGGAGCTAGGTATAGCGTAGATCTGGGTCGTATTGAGTTAGCTGTTCTCTCAGCTGGTAGTTTTAACTGTGATCAAATCAACCAGCTCAGAGAACGCGTAAACAATAGAAAATAAATTTCAGAACACAGCAGTGCATCATGCACTGTGACTGAGTAGCAGAACTCAACTGCATGTAAATAATCTGTTACATCATTCAGTTACGTATAGCTTGGATACCAAACGTAGCTCAATACGATCGAAAATAAGACTACCGAAAAAGCGGAACAAACGAGCTATTGATTCTACCTATTTATTTAACGGCGTATGTGGGAGTTTATGAACATACAGGTAAGCTTCTTAAATTGGTGAAGAATATTTTTCTATTGGGAATTAACCGCAAAATATAACAGATGAAAGTTGCATTCATTAAAATACCTTTATATAACACTTACCGTCTTTCAGGAACTGAATGAAGGTGAAAAACATACACCAACTGACGGAGCAATAAGCCATCAATAATTACAGAAGAACCAAGTCGAATAGCACGGCTAACCAAGGCGATTAAAAAAGTAACACTATTCTCATTATTCCTGTAACAACAACAAAATGAGTAAAAGACCACTTAAGCAATAGGTAGTAAAGTTTCATAAATCAAAGATCGAATAATTTAAAACGCTAGCATGACAGATAACTTTCCAATCTATTAGAAAGAGAGGTAAATTGCGTAGGCAAACCTAGAGATGGAACAAAATGACGAATGAATTCATTTAATGTGTAGCCTTAACACAAATTGATAGCCAACCTTGAATGAAATGAACAAACAAATATAAAACCTTTAAAAATCCATACAACAACGAAGTGTGATGCAAATTACGAGTGTATTTGCCTATAACAACACGGCGAATCACCATTAACTAGCAGACGGACTTTATTCAGTTAACAAGTACATTATAATACATTTCACAATAGATAGCTAAATAATATATATCAACATACATATCAAAAAGCTAGCAAGAAATAAGCAATTGAAAGATTCTCACATGTTCAGACTAAGAATCCTAAGCCGACAACTGCTACCTTGTCGTGGAGGTCGGGGTTGAGTACTCCCGTGACCCAACAAGCTACACTGGCTGGCACTAATGTTTGTGTAGGTCCCACCACGTCAGGAAGGTTGTTTGGACAGAGGTTAGACAAAAGCAGTTACTATGGGGTACATGCGCTCCAGAATCCGAAAGGACCAAATGGTGCACTAACCTGCATTGATCACCGGCCCCATGGGCACCTGCCTCCTGGCCATGCTCCGAAGTAGTTCCAACACATAGGTGTGAACCAATGATCATACCAGTCTATAAGAAACGATACACATCTTTCTGTGACAAACGCAGTGCTCACAGCCTGACCAACACAGTATCTAAAATCCTGGATTGAGTAGCTAGTACGAAGAACACATGGCATCCCGGATAAATAAGCACGAAATGCTCGGACAAGTGTGAATTGATTAGATACAAACACTTAATAATTCATTAAATCTCCACCATACAAAGGCTTCTGAACACATCTATTTACCGGCATTTGTCACTACGTTAAGGAAGGGATGATGTGGCAACGTCTGATAGCAATCGGGTGCTGGTAAGCACATATTACGCTACCCGAACTTATACAACAGATTATGACGTCACAACGACCAGATGCCAATCGTTCAGACTATTGATTATGGTTGTGAGCGGTTTGTAGGCTCACTGGCTTGTGCCTTCCTCATGCTCGGAATCAGTGGTCGGAGATTGTTTACAATGACGTAGACATATTTACACCTAATTATGCTCTAAATTCTAACCACCTTTATGTAATAATTAACTGTGTCATTTAGTTGTCTCTTTGGGAATCTTTACATTCACCTTGCCTTGGTGAGGCTCTCTGCAAAAGCCGACTTTGTTTCGTCACTCATAAAATATGGTGCTGTTGACGAAGACCTAATTGATAAGTGCTTATTATTTCGATGATCTCGAACCGATATATTTGTCAAGATAACATAGCTGTCAAATACAATTGTAATCCAAACGATAGTGTATTTTGTTCCCTACAATGACTTTAGTTAACAAACGTCAACTGGCAATTGAATTTCTCAATAGCAACGTTAATTCAAGCTAGTGATAAATGCACTGACAGTTCTGCATTCCAATTGATCAAAAATGTCAATTAGAAATTTCAAAGTACTGATCACTGAACAAAGAACATTGTTATGGATATATAACTGTAGAACCTGATGAACTCATGGAAATGAATACTCTTGGTTCACTAATCAGTTTTGCATTTATATCTTGGGGATTTGATGGTTTAGGCGGATAGAAATTGTTCGATAAAGATATTATGTAGGGACAGGTATATGTGAACGTTTATCTTGCACGAGATAATGAAACTGAACAAGTTTCGTAAGAGAAGGGAATTAAAATATCACAGGTTTTATTAAGGCATACTGAATGAATTTAATCATTTAATTGATTAATCCATTGGTGACATCTCGGTCGGTCGGTCGGTTTTCGACATAGAACTTTGCACATATGTGCGGCAGTTCAAGTCGCCACACTCCATGTAGCACACAAAGCAAGAGAAGAAAGTAGAAGAAATGCATAATATAGACAGTAAACAGAGGTGTGAGACAAAGGAATAGTAATAACGGAGAAGAAAACAGTTTAATTGGAAATCATAAGTCACAAGGAGTGGATGTCGGTGACATCTATGAGTGTTGATGTTATCTGCAGACATCTGTGCATAAAAATATTATTTCGAATTGTGGTATCACTGAACTAATGTATCTTTCAACAGTGGATGAAATTTATAACTCGGTCAGTCGACGGAACTGGGTATCACCACCCTATTAAATGTGTATTATCACACTAGGGTCTTATAATAGTAGGAAGACTTGGATAATGAAGCTTGTTGATGGATTTTAATTGAAGTGGCTGCTCTGAATACTCCAATATTTAGCTAGGAATACTGGTACTATAAAGTGGAAGCTTTATCGAGAGTGGCAGAGTAGGAGGTTCAAGACAGTACGAATTATTTGATGGAGAAAATTCAGCATGTGTTGAGGAAGATGATTAGTTTTTGAGGTTGACATTTTCCAACGTCAACTCAGAAAAGCAATATAGAACACATGATAATATTTGTTCGATGAAAACACCTATCACTACACCTATTTTAGTTGTAAGTACAACTGCCTCCCCAAAATCGCAACATAGTATAAGGTATTCAAACTACTTCACCTCAATCCAACCGACATTTTGAAATGACAGGACCTTCAAAGATAATTGTTCTTGGAAGAATAATCCACTGGACTATTGAGATATACGAAGCTGATGCTACCGCTTACTCGAGTAATGGGTTCAGGTAAAATGATTCCATACTCCTGCTAAGCATGAATTCCAAAGAAGTCTCTGCAAAATGAATGGATTATCTACATAAACCCGAGTTTAAAGAGAGAAACAGAAGGGGAGTGATCAAATGTACTGACTACCTTATTTTATGAAGTCTTAGTGAACTGATTTGTGACGAAAGCCTAGCATAGATAGAGCATAAGTCGATGTGGTTCATATTTGGCACTACCACACAAGTACTTGTTACTGCGTGGGTATATTTTGCAGCTACTTATTCCACCAGAGTCTGCTAATGCGCTCATGTACTGATCTTTGGTCATGGGTATAATTTAAGCACTACCTGCAATATCTTGAAACCAAAAAAATGGCTGGAGTTGGGAGAATACGTAAAACATATTTCTGAAGTCTTTTACTAATGATCATTTAACAAATGTATCTTCTTTCATAGTAGTGTTTTTTTTTTCTGAAGTAATTTTACTTCTATTCACTTTTCTTGTGTGCTAACTCGAAATGATGCCATTCTAGGCCAGTTTCTACATTTGCTTAAAATCATTCTCCACACATTTGTATGATTCAGAAAGCATGCATTTAGATTGATGTGCAAACTCTATACACACTGAGAGCCAAAATTAACCTTGCCACGAAAACCCGAGATTCTCAAACAAATACACTTTTCCCAGGAAGGCAAATTTACAGTCTAATGCGCTTTGGTTAGTTCGCATTTCAAATAAAGTGGAGTTGACATAATACATAAAATGCTATTATACGGATACAAACAACTTACGGAACTGACGAATTGCTTGTTTGTGGCATGAGTGATGAAGAATCGGGAATCGAAGTTCCAGGTATAAGAGGAGGAAGTGGAGGTAGTGTCCTATCGACTGGTGAACGAGTAACGTTATTCAAGTTGTTCAGAGGATAAGTACCCAATTGATGATGCTGAGAACGATGTGATTGTGGAACACTGCCATCTTCTGCAGTTGGCAAGTTATTCACCCCGTTAAACTCATTGTCACTGTGTAGGTCAGAAACCAATATTTCAGTGTATTCGGTATCAGAAATGATGGAGTAAATAATTTTATGAGCCAAACATTTACACAATGGACAAGAAGGATTGATACATACAGATAAGTGTGAACCAATGATCATACCAGTCTATAAGAAACGATACACATCTTTCTGTGACAAACGCAGTGCTCACAGCCTGACCAACACAGTATCTAAAATCCTGGATTGAGTAGCTAGTACGAAGAACACATGGCATCCCGGATAAATAAGCACGAAATGCTCGGACAAGTGTGAATTGATTAGATACAAACACTTAATAATTCATTAAATCTCCACCATACAAAGGCTTCTGAACACATCTATTTACCGGCATTTGTCACTACGTTAAGGAAGGGATGATGTGGCAACGTCTGATAGCAATCGGGTGCTGGTAAGCACATATTACGCTACCCGAACTTATACAACAGATTATGACGTCACAACGACCAGATGCCAATCGTTCAGACTATTGATTATGGTTGTGAGCGGTTTGTAGGCTCACTGGCTTGTGCCTTCCTCATGCTCGGAATCAGTGGTCGGAGATTGTTTACAATGACGTAGACATATTTACACCTAATTATGCTCTAAATTCTAACCACCTTTATGTAATAATTAACTGTGTCATTTAGTTGTCTCTTTGGGAATCTTTACATTCACCTTGCCTTGGTGAGGCTCTCTGCAAAAGCCGACTTTGTTTCGTCACTCATAAAATATGGTGCTGTTGACGAAGACCTAATTGATAAGTGCTTATTATTTCGATGATCTCGAACCGATATATTTGTCAAGATAACATAGCTGTCAAATACAATTGTAATCCAAACGATAGTGTATTTTGTTCCCTACAATGACTTTAGTTAACAAACGTCAACTGGCAATTGAATTTCTCAATAGCAACGTTAATTCAAGCTAGTGATAAATGCACTGACAGTTCTGCATTCCAATTGATCAAAAATGTCAATTAGAAATTTCAAAGTACTGATCACTGAACAAAGAACATTGTTATGGATATATAACTGTAGAACCTGATGAACTCATGGAAATGAATACTCTTGGTTCACTAATCAGTTTTGCATTTATATCTTGGGGATTTGATGGTTTAGGCGGATAGAAATTGTTCGATAAAGATATTATGTAGGGACAGGTATATGTGAACGTTTATCTTGCACGAGATAATGAAACTGAACAAGTTTCGTAAGAGAAGGGAATTAAAATATCACAGGTTTTATTAAGGCATACTGAATGAATTTAATCATTTAATTGATTAATCCATTGGTGACATCTCGGTCGGTCGGTCGGTTTTCGACATAGAACTTTGCACATATGTGCGGCAGTTCAAGTCGCCACACTCCATGTAGCACACAAAGCAAGAGAAGAAAGTAGAAGAAATGCATAATATAGACAGTAAACAGAGGTGTGAGACAAAGGAATAGTAATAACGGAGAAGAAAACAGTTTAATTGGAAATCATAAGTCACAAGGAGTGGATGTCGGTGACATCTATGAGTGTTGATGTTATCTGCAGACATCTGTGCATAAAAATATTATTTCGAATTGTGGTATCACTGAACTAATGTATCTTTCAACAGTGGATGAAATTTATAACTCGGTCAGTCGACGGAACTGGGTATCACCACCCTATTAAATGTGTATTATCACACTAGGGTCTTATAAGAGTAGGAAGACTTGGATAATGAAGCTTGTTGATGGATTTTAATTGAAGTGGCTGCTCTGAATACTCCAATATTTAGCTAGGAATACTGGTACTATAAAGTGGAAGCTTTATCGAGAGTGGCAGAGTAGGAGGTTCAAGACAGTACGAATTATTTGATGGAGAAAATTCAGCATGTGTTGAGGAAGATGATTAGTTTTTGAGGTTGACATTTTCCAACGTCAACTCAGAAAAGCAATATAGAACACATGATAATATTTGTTCGATGAAAACATCTATCACTACACCTATTTTAGTTGTAAGTACAACTGCCTCCCCAAAATCACAACATAGTATAAGGTATTCAAACTACTTCACCTCAATCCAACCGACATTTTGAAATGACAGGACCTTCAAAGATAATTGTTCTTGGAAGAATAATCCACTGGACTATTGAGATATACGAAGCTGATGCTACCGCTTACTCGAGTAATGGGTTCAGGTAAAATGATTCCATACTCCTGCTAAGCATGAATTCCAAAGAAGTCTCTGCAAAATGAATGGATTATCTACATAAACCCGAGTTTAAAGAGAGAAACAGAAGGGGAGTGATCAAATGTACTGACTACCTTATTTTATGAAGTCTTAGTGAACTGATTTGTGACGAAAGCCTAGCATAGATAGAGCATAAGTCGATGTGGTTCATATTTGGCACTACCACACAAGTACTTGTTACTGCGTGGGTATATTTTGCAGCTACTTATTCCACCAGAGTCTGCTAATGCGCTCATGTACTGATCTTTGGTCATGGGTATAATTTAAGCACTACCTGCAATATCTTGAAACCAAAAAATGGCTGGAGTTGGGAGAATACGTAAAACATATTTCTGAAGTCTTTTACTAATGATCATTTAACAAATGTATCTTCTTTCATAGTAGTGTTTTTTTTTTGAAGTAATTTTACTTCTATTCACTTTTCTTGTGTGCTAACTCGAAATGATGCCATTCTAGGCCAGTTTCTACATTTGCTTAAAATCATTCTCCACACATTTGTATGATTCAGAAAGCATGCATTTAGATTGATGTGCAAACTCTATACACACTGAGAGCCAAAATTAACCTTGCCACGAAAACCCGAGATTCTCAAACAAATACACTTTTCCCAGGAAGGCAAATTTACAGTCTAATGCGCTTTGGTTAGTTCGCATTTCAAATAAAGTGGAGTTGACATAATACATAAAATGTTATTATACGGATACAAACAACTTACGGAACTGACGAATTGCTTGTTTGTGGCATGAGTGATGAAGAATCGGGAATCGAAGTTCCAGGTATAAGAGGAGGAAGTGGAGGTAGTGTCCTACCGAACAGTGAACGAGTTAAGTTACTCCAGTATCTCAGAAGATGATAACGCACTGGATCATACTGATAACGATGTGATTGTGGAACACTGCCATCTTCTGCAGTTGGCAAGTTATTCACCCCGTTAAACTCATTGTCACTGTGTAGGTCAGAAACCAATATTTCAGTGTATTCGGTATCAGAAATGATGGAGTAAATAATTTTATGAGCCAAACATTTACACAATGGACAAGAAGGATTGATACATACAGATAAGTGTGAACCAATGATCATACCAGTCTATAAGAAACGATACACATCTTTCTGTGACAAACGCAGTGCTCACAGCCTGACCAACACAGTATCTAAAATCCTGGATTGAGTAGCTAGTACGAAGAACACATGGCATCCCGGATAAATAAGCACGAAATGCTCGGACAAGTGTGAATTGATTAGATACAAACACTTAATAATTCATTAAATCTCCACCATACAAAGGCTTCTGAACACATCTATTTACCGGCATTTGTCACTACGTTAAGGAAGGGATGATGTGGCAACGTCTGATAGCAATCGGGTGCTGGTAAGCACATATTACGCTACCCGAACTTATACAACAGATTATGACGTCACAACGACCAGATGCCAATCGTTCAGACTATTGATTATGGTTGTGAGCGGTTTGTAGGCTCACTGGCTTGTGCCTTCCTCATGCTCGGAATCAGTGGTCGGAGATTGTTTACAATGACGTAGACATATTTACACCTAATTATGCTCTAAATTCTAACCACCTTTATGTAATAATTAACTGTGTCATTTAGTTGTCTCTTTGGGAATCTTTACATTCACCTTGCCTTGGTGAGGCTCTCTGCAAAAGCCGACTTTGTTTCGTCACTCATAAAATATGCTGCTGTTGACGAAGACCTAATTGATAAGTGCTTATTATTTCGATGATCTCGAACCGATATATTTGTCAAGATAACATAGCTGTCAAATACAATTGTAATCCAAACGATAGTGTATTTTGTTCCCTACAATGACTTTAGTTAACAAACGTCAACTGGCAATTGAATTTCTCAATAGCAACGTTAATTCAAGCTAGTGATAAATGCACTGACAGTTCTGCATTCCAATTGATCAAAAATGTCAATTAGAAATTTCAAAGTACTGATCACTGAACAAAGAACATTGTTATGGATATATAACTGTAGAACCTGATGAACTCATGGAAATGAATACTCTTGGTTCACTAATCAGTTTTGCATTTATATCTTGGGGATTTGATGGTTTAGGCGGATAGAAATTGTTCGATAAAGATATTATGTAGGGACAGGTATATGTGAACGTTTATCTTGCACGAGATAATGAAACTGAACAAGTTTCGTAAGAGAAGGGAATTAAAATATCACAGGTTTTATTAAGGCATACTGAATGAATTTAATCATTTAATTGATTAATCCATTGGTGACATCTCGGTCGGTCGGTCGGTTTTCGACATAGAACTTTGCACATATGTGCGGCAGTTCAAGTCGCCACACTCCATGTAGCACACAAAGCAAGAGAAGAAAGTAGAAGAAATGCATAATATAGACAGTAAACAGAGGTGTGAGACAAAGGAATAGTAATAACGGAGAAGAAAACAGTTTAATTGGAAATCATAAGTCACAAGGAGTGGATGTCGGTGACATCTATGAGTGTTGATGTTATCTGCAGACATCTGTGCATAAAAATATTATTTCGAATTGTGGTATCACTGAACTAATGTATCTTTCAACAGTGGATGAAATTTATAACTCGGTCAGTCGACGGAACTGGGTATCACCACCCTATTAAATGTGTATTATCACACTAGGGTCTTATAAGAGTAGGAAGACTTGGATAATGAAGCTTGTTGATGGATTTTAATTGAAGTGGCTGCTCTGAATACTCCAATATTTAGCTAGGAATACTGGTACTATAAAGTGGAAGCTTTATCGAGAGTGGCAGAGTAGGAGGTTCAAGACAGTACGAATTATTTGATGGAGAAAATTCAGCATGTGTTGAGGAAGATGATTAGTTTTTGAGGTTGACATTTTCCAACGTCAACTCAGAAAAGCAATATAGAACACATGATAATATTTGTTCGATGAAAACACCTATCACTACACCTATTTTAGTTGTAAGTACAACTGCCTCCCCAAAATCACAACATAGTATAAGGTATTCAAACTACTTCACCTCAATCCAACCGACATTTTGAAATGACAGGACCTTCAAAGATAATTGTTCTTGGAAGAATAATCCACTGGACTATTGAGATATACGAAGCTGATGCTACCGCTTACTCGAGTAATGGGTTCAGGTAAAATGATTCCATACTCCTGCTAAGCATGAATTCCAAAGAAGTCTCTGCAAAATGAATGGATTATCTACATAAACCCGAGTTTAAAGAGAGAAACAGAAGGGGAGTGATCAAATGTACTGACTACCTTATTTTATGAAGTCTTAGTGAACTGATTTGTGACGAAAGCCTAGCATAGATAGAGCATAAGTCGATGTGGTTCATATTTGGCACTACCACACAAGTACTTGTTACTGCGTGGGTATATTTTGCAGCTACTTATTCCACCAGAGTCTGCTAATGCGCTCATGTACTGATCTTTGGTCATGGGTATAATTTAAGCACTACCTGCAATATCTTGAAACCAAAAAAATGGCTGGAGTTGGGAGAATACGTAAAACATATTTCTGAAGTCTTTTACTAATGATCATTTAACAAATGTATCTTCTTTCATAGTAGTGTTTTTTTTTCTGAAGTAATTTTACTTCTATTCACTTTTCTTGTGTGCTAACTCGAAATGATGCCATTCTAGGCCAGTTTCTACATTTGCTTAAAATCATTCTCCACACATTTGTATGATTCAGAAAGCATGCATTTAGATTGATGTGCAAACTCTATACACACTGAGAGCCAAAATTAACCTTGCCACGAAAACCCGAGATTCTCAAACAAATACACTTTTCCCAGGAAGGCAAATTTACAGTCTAATGCGCTTTGGTTAGTTCGCATTTCAAATAAAGTGGAGTTGACATAATACATAAAATGTTATTATACGGATACAAACAACTTACGGAACTGACGAATTGCTTGTTTGTGGCATGAGTGATGAAGAATCGGGAATCGAAGTTCCAGGTATAAGAGGAGGAAGTGGAAGTAGTGTCCTACCGAACAGAAAACGACTTAAGTTACACCAGAATCTCAGACGATGATTACGCACTGGATCATACTGATAACGATGTGATTGTGGAACACTGCCATCTTCTGCAGTTGGCAAGTTATTCACCCCGTTAAACTCATTGTCACTGTGTAGGTCAGAAACCAATATTTCAGTGTATTCGGTATCAGAAATGATGGAGTAAATAATTTTATGAGCCAAACATTTACACAATGGACAAGAAGGATTGATACATACAGATAAGTGTGAACCAATGATCATACCAGTCTATAAGAAACGATACACATCTTTCTGTGACAAACGCAGTGCTCACAGCCTGACTAACACAGTATCTAAAATCCTGGATTGAGTAGCTAGTACGAAGAACACATGGCATCCCGGATAAATAAGCACGAAATGCTCGGACAAGTGTGAATTGATTAGATACAAACACTTAATAATTCATTAAATCTCCACCATACAAAGGCTTCTGAACACATCTATTTACCGGCATTTGTCACTACGTTAAGGAAGGGATGATGTGGCAACGTCTGATAGCAATCGGGTGCTGGTAAGCACATATTACGCTACCCGAACTTATACAACAGATTATGACGTCACAACGACCAGATGCCAATCGTTCAGACTATTGATTATGGTTGTGAGCGGTTTGTAGGCTCACTGGCTTGTGCCTTCCTCATGCTCGGAATCAGTGGTCGGAGATTGTTTACAATGACGTAGACATATTTACACCTAATTATGCTCTAAATTCTAACCACCTTTATGTAATAATTAACTGTGTCATTTAGTTGTCTCTTTGGGAATCTTTACATTCACCTTGCCTTGGTGAGGCTCTCTGCAAAAGCCGACTTTGTTTCGTCACTCATAAAATATGGTGCTGTTGACGAAGACCTAATTGATAAGTGCTTATTATTTCGATGATCTCGAACCGATATATTTGTCAAGATAACATAGCTGTCAAATACAATTGTAATCCAAACGATAGTGTATTTTGTTCCCTACAATGACTTTAGTTAACAAACGTCAACTGGCAATTGAATTTCTCAATAGCAACGTTAATTCAAGCTAGTGATAAATGCACTGACAGTTCTGCATTCCAATTGATCAAAAATGTCAATTAGAAATTTCAAAGTACTGATCACTGAACAAAGAACATTGTTATGGATATATAACTGTAGAACCTGATGAACTCATGGAAATGAATACTCTTGGTTCACTAATCAGTTTTGCATTTATATCTTGGGGATTTGATGGTTTAGGCGGATAGAAATTGTTCGATAAAGATATTATGTAGGGACAGGTATATGTGAACGTTTATCTTGCACGAGATAATGAAACTGAACAAGTTTCGTAAGAGAAGGGAATTAAAATATCACAGGTTTTATTAAGGCATACTGAATGAATTTAATCATTTAATTGATTAATCCATTGGTGACATCTCGGTCGGTCGGTCGGTTTTCGACATAGAACTTTGCACATATGTGCGGCAGTTCAAGTCGCCACACTCCATGTAGCACACAAAGCAAGAGAAGAAAGTAGAAGAAATGCATAATATAGACAGTAAACAGAGGTGTGAGACAAAGGAATAGTAATAACGGAGAAGAAAACAGTTTAATTGGAAATCATAAGTCACAAGGAGTGGATGTCGGTGACATCTATGAGTGTTGATGTTATCTGCAGACATCTGTGCATAAAAATATTATTTCGAATTGTGGTATCACTGAACTAATGTATCTTTCAACAGTGGATGAAATTTATAACTCGGTCAGTCGACGGAACTGGGTATCACCACCCTATTAAATGTGTATTATCACACTAGGGTCTTATAAGAGTAGGAAGACTTGGATAATGAAGCTTGTTGATGGATTTTAATTGAAGTGGCTGCTCTGAATACTCCAATATTTAGCTAGGAATACTGGTACTATAAAGTGGAAGCTTTATCGAGAGTGGCAGAGTAGGAGGTTCAAGACAGTACGAATTATTTGATGGAGAAAATTCAGCATGTGTTGAGGAAGATGATTAGTTTTTGAGGTTGACATTTTCCAACGTCAACTCAGAAAAGCAATATAGAACACATGATAATATTTGTTCGATGAAAACATCTATCACTACACCTATTTTAGTTGTAAGTACAACTGCCTCCCCAAAATCACAACATAGTATAAGGTATTCAAACTACTTCACCTCAATCCAACCGACATTTTGAAATGACAGGACCTTCAAAGATAATTGTTCTTGGAAGAATAATCCACTGGACTATTGAGATATACGAAGCTGATGCTACCGCTTACTCGAGTAATGGGTTCAGGTAAAATGATTCCATACTCCTGCTAAGCATGAATTCCAAAGAAGTCTCTGCAAAATGAATGGATTATCTACATAAACCCGAGTTTAAAGAGAGAAACAGAAGGGGAGTGATCAAATGTACTGACTACCTTATTTTATGAAGTCTTAGTGAACTGATTTGTGACGAAAGCCTAGCATAGATAGAGCATAAGTCGATGTGGTTCATATTTGGCACTACCACACAAGTACTTGTTACTGCGTGGGTATATTTTGCAGCTACTTATTCCACCAGAGTCTGCTAATGCGCTCATGTACTGATCTTTGGTCATGGGTATAATTTAAGCACTACCTGCAATATCTTGAAACCAAAAAATGGCTGGAGTTGGGAGAATACGTAAAACATATTTCTGAAGTCTTTTACTAATGATCATTTAACAAATGTATCTTCTTTCATAGTAGTGTTTTTTTTTCTGAAGTAATTTTACTTCTATTCACTTTTCTTGTGTGCTAACTCGAAATGATGCCATTCTAGGCCAGTTTCTACATTTGCTTAAAATCATTCTCCACACATTTGTATGATTCAGAAAGCATGCATTTAGATTGATGTGCAAACTCTATACACACTGAGAGCCAAAATTAACCTTGCCACGAAAACCCGAGATTCTCAAACAAATACACTTTTCCCAGGAAGGCAAATTTACAGTCTAATGCGCTTTGGTTAGTTCGCATTTCAAATAAAGTGGAGTTGACATAATACATAAAATGCTATTATACGGATACAAACAACTTACGGAACTGACGAATTGCTTGTTTGTGGCATGAGTGATGAAGAATCGGGAATCGAAGTTCCAGGTATAAGAGGAGGAAGTGGAGGTAGTGTCCTATCGACTGGTGAACGAGTAACGTTATTCAAGTTGTTCAGAGGATGAGTACCCAATTGATGATGCTGATAACGATGTGATTGTGGAACACTGCCATCTTCTGCAGTTGGCAAGTTATTCACCCCGTTAAACTCATTGTCACTGTGTAGGTCAGAAACCAATATTTCAGTGTATTCGGTATCAGAAATGATGGAGTAAATAATTTTATGAGCCAAACATTTACACAATGGACAAGAAGGATTGATACATACAGATAAGTGTGAACCAATGATCATACCAGTCTATAAGAAACGATACACATCTTTCTGTGACAAACGCAGTGCTCACAGCCTGACTAACACAGTATCTAAAATCCTGGATTGAGTAGCTAGTACGAAGAACACATGGCATCCCGGATAAATAAGCACGAAATGCTCGGACAAGTGTGAATTGATTAGATACAAACACTTAATAATTCACTAAATCTCCACCATACAAAGGCTTCTGAACACATCTATTTACCGGCATTTGTCACTACGTTAAGGAAGGGATGATGTGGCAACGTCTGATAGCAATCGGGTGCTGGTAAGCACATATTACGCTACCCGAACTTATACAACAGATTATGACGTCACAACGACCAGATGCCAATCGTTCAGACTATTGATTATGGTTGTGAGCGGTTTGTAGGCTCACTGGCTTGTGCCTTCCTCATGCTCGGAATCAGTGGTCGGAGATTGTTTACAATGACGTAGACATATTTACACCTAATTATGCTCTAAATTCTAACCACCTTTATGTAATAATTAACTGTGTCATTTAGTTGTCTCTTTGGGAATCTTTACATTCACCTTGCCTTGGTGAGGCTCTCTGCAAAAGCCGACTTTGTTTCGTCACTCATAAAATATGGTGCTGTTGACGAAGACCTAATTGATAAGTGCTTATTATTTCGATGATCTCGAACCGATATATTTGTCAAGATAACATAGCTGTCAAATACAATTGTAATCCAAACGATAGTGTATTTTGTTCCCTACAATGACTTTAGTTAACAAACGTCAACTGGCAATTGAATTTCTCAATAGCAACGTTAATTCAAGCTAGTGATAAATGCACTGACAGTTCTGCATTCCAATTGATCAAAAATGTCAATTAGAAATTTCAAAGTACTGATCACTGAACAAAGAACATTGTTATGGATATATAACTGTAGAACCTGATGAACTCATGGAAATGAATACTCTTGGTTCACTAATCAGTTTTGCATTTATATCTTGGGGATTTGATGGTTTAGGCGGATAGAAATTGTTCGATAAAGATATTATGTAGGGACAGGTATATGTGAACGTTTATCTTGCACGAGATAATGAAACTGAACAAGTTTCGTAAGAGAAGGGAATTAAAATATCACAGGTTTTATTAAGGCATACTGAATGAATTTAATCATTTAATTGATTAATCCATTGGTGACATCTCGGTCGGTCGGTCGGTTTTCGACATAGAACTTTGCACATATGTGCGGCAGTTCAAGTCGCCACACTCCATGTAGCACACAAAGCAAGAGAAGAAAGTAGAAGAAATGCATAATATAGACAGTAAACAGAGGTGTGAGACAAAGGAATAGTAATAACGGAGAAGAAAACAGTTTAATTGGAAATCATAAGTCACAAGGAGTGGATGTCGGTGACATCTATGAGTGTTGATGTTATCTGCAGACATCTGTGCATAAAAATATTATTTCGAATTGTGGTATCACTGAACTAATGTATCTTTCAACAGTGGATGAAATTTATAACTCGGTCAGTCGACGGAACTGGGTATCACCACCCTATTAAATGTGTATTATCACACTAGGGTCTTATAAGAGTAGGAAGACTTGGATAATGAAGCTTGTTGATGGATTTTAATTGAAGTGGCTGCTCTGAATACTCCAATATTTAGCTAGGAATACTGGTACTATAAAGTGGAAGCTTTATCGAGAGTGGCAGAGTAGGAGGTTCAAGACAGTACGAATTATTTGATGGAGAAAATTCAGCATGTGTTGAGGAAGATGATTAGTTTTTGAGGTTGACATTTTCCAACGTCAACTCAGAAAAGCAATATAGAACACATGATAATATTTGTTCGATGAAAACACCTATCACTACACCTATTTTAGTTGTAAGTACAACTGCCTCCCCAAAATCACAACATAGTATAAGGTATTCAAACTACTTCACCTCAATCCAACCGACATTTTGAAATGACAGGACCTTCAAAGATAATTGTTCTTGGAAGAATAATCCACTGGACTATTGAGATATACGAAGCTGATGCTACCGCTTACTCGAGTAATGGGTTCAGGTAAAATGATTCCATACTCCTGCTAAGCATGAATTCCAAAGAAGTCTCTGCAAAATGAATGGATTATCTACATAAACCCGAGTTTAAAGAGAGAAACAGAAGGGGAGTGATCAAATGTACTGACTACCTTATTTTATGAAGTCTTAGTGAACTGATTTGTGACGAAAGCCTAGCATAGATAGAGCATAAGTCGATGTGGTTCATATTTGGCACTACCACACAAGTACTTGTTACTGCGTGGGTATATTTTGCAGCTACTTATTCCACCAGAGTCTGCTAATGCGCTCATCTACTGATCTTTGGTCATGGGTATAATTTAAGCACTACCTGCAATATCTTGAAACCAAAAAAATGGCTGGAGTTGGGAGAATACGTAAAACATATTTCTGAAGTCTTTTACTAATGATCATTTAACAAATGTATCTTCTTTCATAGTAGTGTTTTTTTTTCTGAAGTAATTTTACTTCTATTCACTTTTCTTGTGTGCTAACTCGAAATGATGCCATTCTAGGCCAGTTTCTACATTTGCTTAAAATCATTCTCCACACATTTGTATGATTCAGAAAGCATGCATTTAGATTGATGTGCAAACTCTATACACACTGAGAGCCAAAATTAACCTTGCCACGAAAACCCGAGATTCTCAAACAAATACACTTTTCCCAGGAAGGCAAATTTACAGTCTAATGCGCTTTGGTTAGTTCGCATTTCAAATAAAGTGGAGTTGACATAATACATAAAATGCTATTATACGGATACAAACAACTTACGGAACTGACGAATTGCTTGTTTGTGGCATGAGTGATGAAGAATCGGGAATCGAAGTTCCAGGTATAAGAGGAGGAAGTGGAGGTAGTGTCCTATCGACTGGTGAACGAGTAAAGTTACTCCAGTAGTTCAGAAGATGAGTACCCAATTGATGATACTGATAACGATGTGATTGTGGAACGCTGTCATCTTGTGCAGGTGGGCGTATGTATTCTTCATCTACTCCGATTTCAGTTGGCAAGTTATTCACCCCGTTAAACTCATTGTCACTGTGTAGGTCAGAAACCAATATTTCAGTGTATTCGGTATCAGAAATGATGGAGTAAATAATTTTATGAGCCAAACATTTACACAATGGACAAGAAGGATTGATACATAACCATCGATAAATACAATCGAAACAAAATGTGTGCATACACGGCAGTATCACACTGCGGTTCGACTTTTTGCACAAACATATTACACAATCATCATCACTTTCACGACACTGGGCTCTTTCGGCAGCTAATGCAGCTCGAATAGTTGAACGATCCTGGATGTTTTGAGAGTGTCTGTTATGACTGGTGCGTGAGTTCGTTGCTAGCAAACGTTCTGCGGCTCTTCTTTGGGATCTGGTGACGCGTTCAGTACTTATTAATTGAATACCATCGTCGTTAGAAAATTCGTTGGTTATAATATTTCCACTTGCTGACTGATTCTGGCGTGATAAATTTTCACGTGATGAGATGACTTGTGGAATAAATGGGTGACGGATGCATGCAGACCTGGGGCTGTGGCGAGGAAGTAGGCCCGAGGTATTTACCGTCGATGACTCCAACAGGCAACCACTACTCGATCTTGAGTTAGCAGCTAGACGCTGAAAATTACAAAATATACGCCATTCATGAGAGCAAACAATAACATAACTAAAATATTACTATCACCCGAAATTTAAAAAATATTCTGTATTTTGGGAAACAGCTGAATAAATATGAATAGATTTACAAGGCTAGCAGACGCTGTTACCATCATAGAAGAAGTAGGGCATCACTGAGTCGACTAAATATTTGTTTACTGAGGTAAAATATATCAACATTTCAGGTTTACATATTAGCAAACACTAAACCTGGAAGAATGGCTCTTTACTAATCCATTTTCTCTTCAGTCATAAAATGGGTAACATTTTATTTATATTTAGCGACCGGGAAAATCTTAGTAAAAATCATAAAAGTTAGTTAAGGTTTTATACATTTTCGGCGGTCAACTGCCCGTCTGACATGACTGACTAATTTAAAAGATAAGTACAGTTAGTTAAAGAGGAAAAAGTTTGATTTAATCTTATCTATTGTTACTATGGTTACTTCGGTAATCTTAAGTCTTCGCTGTATGCATTATGGGTAAATTTTATTTTGATAGAGTCTCACAGTGTTGTACAGTAATATTTGCTGTATGCAGTTTGACGAAAGTTTCAGAAAATATTATCGTTCTTATAACGGCAAATTCAAAATGGATTAGTGTTGGCTGAAGCGATTAAAATATTTTGATTTAGCGGTTTGATTCCATTACAAGGCGAAGATGACTATAGGTTGAAATGAAAACTTCAAACAATACAAGCTCGTGCTCATATAAGTATTAATCTAAACGCAAATTTGATACAATATGGGCACGAGAAATGTGCTGCAGAAAAATGGTAGAACAACAATATAAGTAAATCAAAATTAAAATAAACAGAGTACAGCATCAAGAAAAAAGCATACTTATCAGGTGGATTCAAAAGAATACTTGATTACTTAATGTTACTTTCCAAAAGAGAAGAAAAGAGAAAATCGAAGCGTGTTACGCCTCTACACTGCATTTGATAGAATCTCGAGCCACTGATTCAAATTATCTCTCTGACACTATCCAGGGAGTTTCGGTGCACCAACAGGCGCTGAGCAACTGACAGCAGACTAATACCACGATAATTGTCAGAAGCATTACGTAGGTTCTTTTAGAAGATATTTATAAGAGTACCTTTATTCTAAACTCATGGAAGATTCACACTTCCCTCAATGTGGAATAAAGCTAGTTGGTTTGCCTACAGTCACTAGCTTCATAAACGTGATTGCGGAAGTAGAGCTAGACACAAAAAAGAACATGACATACTAAGGTGAAAAAAATAAGAAGTATTCAACGAGTTAAATAAGACGTATAAAGCCCTGGATATGAAGTGAAGTAAAATTGTAAGTCTACAACGTCCGCAAGCTACGTATGTTGGCATTAACTTTGTCCAAACTGACAAATGATTTAGTTTTGACCCACATTTGTGAAAAGTTCTAACATATCAGTCACTGTTTCACTCTATTCATGTAAAAAATACAAGTGGAAGAACATCTACTGCAAAAGTTTAATTTTTACTTAATTATACCAAGTTATCAAGTAAACCATAATATATATTGGAACTAACCTGTGATGAACGGTGAGTTTGACCTATTCTACGTAGCTGGGGTGTGCGTCTCGGTACAGGAGGAGGTGACGATGATGCACCGGCAGACGACAGTGAAGAAGCAAAAAACAATTCACCAGGCACTGACCGATTGAATGTATTAGATGAGTTTGCCGCTTCATTAGAATTCCCAATGGAACCCACTTCTTCAGTCGTATTTGACGTCGCAATCTCACTTTGATTTCTGGAGGTCTGTGGTAAAGCCGCCGCACTGCGTTGATCGTACACACCTAGAGTAAGGTCTTCGTAAAACATATTGGCGGAGATACAACTGCAGAAGTAAGCTATAGAGAAGAGAACAGAAAATTAGATTCTGTGGGACAAAAGCAGTAAGAAAGACAAATATCCGTAACTATTTATTTATTTAATTATTAATAGCCATGGTACATAAAACGTTATATATATATATATATATATATATATATATATATCGGATAAATTAACTATTCAAGAAATTTTGTTAAAAGTTGGGTAGTTCAAACATTTCAGAAGTATAAAGATTTTCGGATCAGAATAAAATGGAAGTTACAAAATAGAAATGGAGGGAATGACGCGAATCACTGCAAGTTTAGAAGTAATTATAAAAAGGATGGGTAGCTTGTAGCAGCTACACAGTTTCAGCCCAAGGATTTTCGTCAAGAAAGGCTTGCACAACTTCCTTCATTGACAGATTTGGTATAAGCTGATCTTCTGTCAGTGGCTTGCGTGATACAGGGTCAAAATGTCCAACTTGCCGTAAGTGTGCAGTTATTGATGGTCTGTCGTATGTAATGCCACTAGGTGTGATAACAGGATCTCGCATAAGATCAAAGCTAATACGACCACAAAGGTAGTCTGGAATTTCTCTTTTTTGCCGACGTTCATCTACCTGTAAAATAGTAGGTAGACAGTAATGTTTAATTCGTGGGTAACTTTAATAATAATGATAATAATAAGATAATAACTTGACACATTGGTAAACAGACTAAATTAGTAAACGGAACTTACTAACGACTATTTTCCACTACCTACATACAACCATACCATACTCATGAAATATTTATCAGTCCTCATACAACAGATGTGCCTCATAGTCTATTGCTCTGAGTAGTTGAGTTTCAAAAGCAAAAAGTTCTAATGAATTCGACCATAACTAGGTATTACCGATAGAGATGAAGATAATGTTTATTGCACAGTTTATTGAGAACATGTTTTTACACACAACCCTTATTCACTTCAAGAAGTGTTAATGTTATTAGCATTTCCTCCTGGACCTGCTAGGAAAATGAATAATGATATAGATAAGTGAAATAACAAAAAATACCACACAAAAATATCCTAAAGTAACAAAATGATTTACTTTAGCGAATAATTCATTAAGCTCTGAGATACGTTTCTGAGATGCATTATCTATATCTGAAATTATTTCTTGAAGTTCTGCTGGGATATTTTCTGAACAATTTTCATCGTTAGTTTGGGGAAGGTCAGTAGGTTTTGGCAAACAATCAGACGTAGTAAGGTTGGGTAATGTGATACTGTTACTTCGAGCAGTTCCAGATGACGTCGATAATAAAACTTGCTTTTGACGAGCAGCATCATCCAAAATTAATTTATTCAGATATACCTGATTACAGAGTAAAAAAAGGGAGGAAACTATGCACTCCACGGGTCAGTGACAATATAAAAAATTGAAGAATCACTCTAGGATTTAGCTGAATGAGTCCAAACAAGCAACTCAACTTGGAATACGTAAACTGAATTCCTGAAAAACATGAACACCAAAAACTGGTCACATCAATGTATAATGAAAGCAAGATTTCAATTTGACAGGTTGTAAATTCTAGATTTCTCTGTCCCTAATTAAGTTTCTTGAAATTTAATGTCAGTAAAAAGTTTGAGCATTGTAGAATAGATCATATGAATTATAAATATATTTCAGTAAATTACACACAAGGATGTTTTTGTTCTCTCCGATATTTCGAGAAAAAACAAAAACGTATCAATGTGTGTAAACTATTGAAATATAAATATAATTAATTTCATTCTTGAAATTTCCACAACTATTATTATTATATATTATTGTTCCTTTGGGTTCCTAGTGGAACATAGGGCTTCAACTGCACGCCTCCACTTGCTTCTGTCTTGTGCTGTACTTTTCACTTGCATCCATGTTAATCCATACTGTCTCAGTTCCTCTTCACACGATCTCCTCCATGTCACCCTTGGACGTCCCACTCGCCGCTTCCCTTTCGGGTTCCACTCGAGGACCTGACGCGCGATGTCACCCAACGGCCTCCTCAGCGAGTGTCCAATCCATCTCCACTTTCTCCTGCATATTTGTTGAGCGATTGGTCCTTGTTTTGTTTGTTCCCATTGCTTCTTGTTTGTAATTCTTTCCGGCCATCTGATCTTCAGTATAGAGCGAAGACAGTTGTTGATAAATGTCTGCAACCTGTTGGAAATATTCTTTGTGACCCGCCAAGTTTCTGATCCGTATAGCAAAAGTGACTTGACGTTTGTATTGAAAATCCGAATTTTGTTGTTGATGCTGAGTAACGAAGATTTCCAGATTGGTTTCAGGTTGATGAATGTGTTTGTCGCCTTCCCGATTCTCGATTTGACATCCTCGTCCGTTCCTCCTGTCGTTGAGACAATGCTCCCTAGATAAGTGAATGAAGTAACCTCTTTCAAATCCCTCCCGTTGATGGTGATTGGCGCTGGATGTTGCTGCTGCTGTTGTTGTTGTTGGTTGGTTATTTTCATAACCTCCGTCTTGTCTATGTTCACCTGCAGTCCTGTCTTTGCTGCTTCTTCGACCAGTTTGTCGGTTTTCGCTTGTAAGTCTTCGACTTTGTGTGACATCAAATATAAATCATCCACGCGCGAAATCCAGGTCTTCTAGGTTCTTCACGTCGGTCCAGGATATCCTTGTCTTCTCGTTTCCCACTGTCTGACGCATAATCCAGTCCACCACAATTAGGAATATCATTGGTGATAATAAGCATCCTTGTCTGACTCCTGTGTTTACTCCAAACGCTTCGCTGAGTTTTCCGTTGTGGATCACTTGACATGTGCCGTTGTCGTACAGCTGTTGAATAAGATTGATGAATATTTGGGGTACGCCGTAGTACTCGAGTAGCTTCCAAATTACTTCGTGGCCAACGCTGTCGAAGGTCTTCTCAAGGTCTATAAAGTTGAGGTAGAGCTTTGATTGCCATTCCATGCTTTGTTCGATGATGATACGTAGAGTTGTAACTTGGTCAGAACATGATTTGCCTTTCCTGAATCCAGCTTGTTCTGGTCGGAGTTCTGTATCCAGTGCGTCCTTTATTCTCTCCAGGATGATGCGACTCAGGATTTTACTTGGCGTCGACAGGAGCATGATTCCTCGCCAGTTCTTGCAGAGTGAGGCCTAAGTCGCCCTTCTTTGGTAGTTTCACTAGATAACCTTTCCTCCAGTCAGTAGGCACCTTTCCCTCCTTCCAGACCTTTTGCAATAATAGAGTCAGCATATCTGCTGCTGTCTCCGCGTCCGTTTTCAGTGCTTCAGGGGGTATTCCATCTGGTCCGGCTGCTTTTCCAGCTTTCAGAAGCTTGATTGCATTCATGACTTCAGTTTTCGTTGGAGGATTGGTGTCAACTTGCAGTTGTGTACGTGCTGTTGTTAGTATTTCTGGACGGGTTGTAGGTGGTGGTCGGTTCAAGAGTCCTTTGAAGTGGTTCGCCCATTGTTTAATCTGTCTTTCTTCTTTGGTAATTGGGTTCCCTTGACTGTCTTTTATAGGTTTCACTTGTGTTGATCTCTTCCCGGATAGAGACTTGGTTATCTGATATAGTGTCCTCAGGTCCCTTTTGCCTGCTGCCTTCTCAGCTTCAGTAGCCAGGTTGTCGTAGAATTGTCTTTTGTCCTTCCTGGCGCTCTTCTTCACTTCTTTGTCCAGTGCTGTGTAAGTTGAGCTCCGCGTCTCTTTCTCTTGTCCATCTTTGCATTGAATCATTTTCTCTTTCACCATTCTCCTCTTCTCTATTAGCTTCCAAATGTCCGTTGAGAGCCATTCCTTGTCTTGTTTCTTCTTTCTTCCTAAAACCGTTGAACACGTTTCGTTGAAAATTACCTTCAGAGAGTTCCAGTGGTCTTCCACGGATGATTCCTCAGTGGTGCCACGTAGTGTTTCCTGCTTTGCTCTGACAGTTGCAGTGAAAATGTCCTGTGTGATTGTGTCCTTCAGTTTTTGCGTGTTGAACTTGCATTGTGGCCTATCCCCAGGTATCCTCGAGGCTTTCAGCTTCACCTTGAAAGTCCCTTGTACTAGATAGTGGTCTGAACCCACATCTGCTCCTCTCCTCGATCTTGTGTCCAGTAGGCTCCGTCTCCACTTCCTTGAGATTGAAATGAAGTCTATCTGGTTTTCGGTGTGTCCATCTGGTGAAATCCATGTTGCCTTGTGTATATCCTTGTGTTTGAACACACTGCCACCAATCACCAAATCATTGAAGGCGCAGAAGTCTAAGGAGAGTTCACCATTTTCGTTCATTTCACCGAGGGCCTCACGACCCATGGTGAGTTCTCTTCCTGTATTGTCTCCTCCCAGTTTCGCATTCATGTCACCCATCGGGATTTTGATATCGCTCTTTGGGACGTTGTCCATTACTGTTTGTAGTTGACTGTAGAAATCCTCCTTCTTCTCTTTTTCTGAGACGTTTGTAGGCGCGTAGCATCGAATGATTGTAACCTTTTTTCCTTTTGAGTTGAACCTGGCTGTCATTATCCTGGAGGAGATTGGTTCCCACTGCATGAGAGCTTTAGCCTACCCACAACTATAGTTACCAATATTGCCTGATTACTAGACCACTTTCGGTGTGGTTTAGTCGTACAGCATCATGTTACAGTTGACGCGAAACATTCGAAGGTTTCCGTTCAAGGTGTTTGGAAGACTCTGCATTTTGTCGGGAACTTTATCTAAGAGGATAATATCATCATCATCATCATACTACAAATCGTCGAGACTGTTCTGTGACAACAAGCCAATCCCTATATCAATTAAGTGGTGAGATCAAACAGAAACAGGGACAATGGGCATCTCTGACGGACACCGGTGGATGTTATCACTTCAGACGAAAACTCTCCATGAAGTCTTACCCGGCTACATGAGCTTGAGTACAGTGCCTGTAGGGTCGAAAATTGACACAACACTTCTCGGTCGGTGAAATCGAATGCCACGTTCAGGTCAAGAAATATGACAAGTGCTAGACATGAGTAGGTATTTCTGTTCCAG